ATAATAGATTTAGAACATAGTGCAAGTGAGGAAGAAAATTTTATTTAAATAGTATTGTACTTCTGTTCAAGGATATTTCAAAAAAATTTAAGCGTATACTTAAACAAAATATCAATTGATTTATTAAACCAAAAATTTTTAAAGTACCTAATATTTTTTGCTTTGTCCTTATTCGTTTGGTCTACAGATATACATGCTTATCCATATATTTTTTTAATTAAAAATTTCTATTTAATTTGTTTTATTTTAAACTCGTTTTATGTTATTAATGTTATCAAATACTTTATAAAACAGCGAATAGCGCCACGAAGATGTTTTATATTAGCTTTTTATATTTATTGTTGTTTTATAGCTTTTTACAATAGCGGTACCAGGAACAGAGGCAGGGGGAAAGACAAGTAAAAAAAAAATTTTCGCGATTATATTTTTTTGCGTTAATTCAAACACTGTATATTAAAGTACATTGCAATAGTATGATAAGATTTATATATAAAATTAAAAAAACATATTTACAGTGACATACTATTTATTTAACTTATCAAAATGTTATTGATTTTATAGGTATGATATTTTAGCTCATATAGTTGGAGCCATTTTTAACCCTTTCAGCCCCTGTGACCTGCTGAACAAGGTCTCATTTGTGAAATTCTGACAAATATTTCTTATTTCATAGCTTTTAAATAGATGATAACATTTCACTTTCATTTTACTGTATTTTGTCTAGGACTAGGGTTGCCAGACATCCGGCAAAAGTAGGACATGTCTTCCTTTTTTTATCCTTGGTCCTCTGTCCAGCAGGTGAAGCTCAAAGCATTTAAAATGTCTGGCTTTTTTAATATTTTAAGTTTTTCATTTTTTCATTTATTTATTATAACTTTTTTTTATTATATATTTTTTCATTTAAACTTAGCTATTCTTAAAACAGTATAACTTTTAAAAGTTTTTGACTTTCTATTCTTCAACTAAAATGTCAAGTTCTACTTTTAACTCAGTGCATTTCGCTAACTAAAAAGGAATTGAAAAACTTAAAAAAAAAGTATAGAGTATAAAAAAAGTATAGAGTATAAAAAAGTGAATAAAAGTATCAATTCTAAGTAACATAAGTTTTTAACTCAGCACATTTTGACTATGTCAGTTTTTGCATAGCAACTATTAACTACATTAGCACTTATATTAAATTGCCACTTTTTTATAAAAACGACTTTAGTTTATATAAAAAGAAAATGCAAATTCTCAAGTATTATGAAAACAAAATATTCATGCTTTGTTGAAGGGCCCAACAAAAATGAGGCAAAGTGTACGATTTATTATAGTTACTTGCCTGTCGCTAACAAAAGAGCAACTGACTTTAAGCGCCACGTTACCAGTGAGAAACATAAGAAACTAATCAAATTGTCAGCGTCATCGAATAAGTTGACGCTCTTTTTTCAACCTAAAAACTCAAAGATATTGCAAAAGGACCACGTATCTGAAGCAACTTTAGAATTTCATGCCATCAGTCCTACAACTCGATAGCCTGCACAGCTGGTTTAATGCACACATTATTTGAAGATTTGGAATTTGCAAAATTAGCACATATTCTTAAACAAAAATTAAGGCAATCATAAACCAAGTAATTGGCCCCCACACTATTGATCAACTGGTGAAATTATTAGATAGCACATCATGTTTTGGTCTTTCCACAGATGCTAGCAATCACGGTTTGCAGAAATTATTTCCGATTGTTATTCAATCCTTAAACTAGAAGTCAGCTAGTAACCAAACTTAAATTCTCACGTTAGATAACACACCAAATGAAACCTCTGAAACTATATCACAATATATTTTGAAAACACTCTGATCATACAAATTTTTGTGTTTTCAACAAGAATGTTGCTTTTGCTGGAGACAATGCTAAAGTAACTTTTGGAGGCATTAATAAAAAAAATAGTAAGTTGAAAAAAACCGTTAAAAGGTGTTGAATGTTCTGCCCTCGTTTTGCACAAATGCATTCAGCACGGTACAGATTTAATGAAGATTAATGTTGAAACTGTTGTCTTGAAAATATTTCAATTATTTTTATACACAGTTAGAACTGAATCTTTAAAAGATTTTTATGACTATGTTGATATTGGTTATAATCAACTATTCTATCACGCTAAATTAGATGGGTAAGTTTGTTTGCTGCTATTGAAAGATGGCTGAGGTTATTTGATGTTTTGAAAGTATATTTTCTTTCTGTAAGTATATTTTGCATTCCTTGATGACTGTTTTTCAAGTAAATATTGCAGCAGTTGAAAAGGAAGAAATGTCAGTTTTAGAAACTATGAGCTTTTTTTACTCTACCTTGGTTGTTTTAAAAGGTCAGTTAAATGAAATATTCCTATTGCTTAAAATCAGAGATATATTAAAAAAGTTTAAAGAAAGTGACAGACAAGAAGATTATAATTACTTTGTGGCAGAAGTTAAGCAAGTGTAAGAAGCATGTATTCTTTGTTTAAAAAAGTGGTTGAAACCTTTTGTTGAATTTTGGTGCTTTGATTGGATGTTTTTAAATAAAGTAAAAGACAGCACATTTGATAATCTTTTTGTAATTATCTTATACTTGAAAGAAAAAGGTAACATTTTGGATTGTGTACAATTGTTTGACCTGTAATCTAAAATCATTTGGGCATATCAAAAATGAGCAGTTTTTTGAAATACTCTTGTATGAACAGTGAGTTTTACTTTTTAAAACTTGTCCAAATGCGAGTTGCTTCTCAGAGATGCTTGTAATTTGCAAAGCACTCTTCTGCATCCCAGAACACAACAGAAATGTTGAAAGAGTGTTCTCGTTAATTAATGCTCAATGGATAAAGGAAGAGAACATACTTTTAGTTGACTCTGTAAAGGGCATCAATTTACAAAGTATAATTTAAAAAACCTTACCTATGAACAGTTTTATAAATATATGATTGCTAACAAAATTCTTTTGCGTAAAGTTGGCTCCTCCGAGAATATGTTATTTGACAAACATCTTATTCGAAATAATATAATCTATTAAAACACTGTATACCTGAACATTGCATTTTTTTTATTATTGAAAAGTATTAATTGCAATTGTAATTTGGAGAAAGTTATGCGAGTTTGCAACAACTTGATTAAACAGATGCGTAGCCTCCACAAAAACTCATTAAAGATAATTAAAAATATCATTAGGATATTTATTGTCGTTGCGACACTTTTGATACTTTTCTGTTTTTATTATTGATAAGTAACAGTTTATAATACCTGCAGTTTACCCAGTCTTTTTACACTGTTACATATATTGTTCTTATATAACATACTTTGTTATTTATTCTCATCCGGTGTCAGTACCATGGCTAGAAAATTGGAATCTTACCCCTCCCCCACCTTAAAAGCTGTCTTCCTTTGTTCTTTTTTTTGGCTTTACTATGTCCTCCTTTGGGTAACCGTTCATCTGGCAACCCTATCTAGGACTGAAAGGGTTGAAAAATATGTTACAAAATTTTGTTATTTACAATAATAATGTCATTGCTGCGCAATATTATAAAAGTTTTTTATACTTAACAAAAGATGGTTTCCAATGGTGAATCATCACTAGGTTGCCGTTACCCCGGTTTAGAATTTAATTTTTTGGGTAACAACCAGAGTTGTTAATAAGGTCAAAAGTAGCAAAGCCAAAACCAAGGTCGAAGCCACAAGTTACATTGCCAAGGCCAAGAGTTTTAAGGGCCAAGATTAGGAGTTTCAAGGCCAAACCCTACACAAACATTTTCGAGACCAAACACTTCAATTTTTACCTTACGTTAAGGCCAATTATTAACACAACTGTATTGGTAGCAAGTGCTGTGACAGTAAAAAAGACCAAGGTTATGCGCAGAAATCAACAAAATCAATAAGAAAATATGTATTTTTTTTGGCCTTATGGCCAGGCCAAGGCTAATGACTAACAACTCTGGTAGCAACATCGCTATCTGTCTATTTAAACTGCTTCCATGATTTTTTTCTAGTATAACCATGGGGTGATGGGTAACCAGGGATGATGGGTAACCAGGGCCGGATTTATTAATAGGCTATTATAATATATATAAATATATATCTTTTTTTCAATTACAATAACAAAATTTTAAGATCTTTTTTATAAAATGTTGAAAAAAAGATAAGTAAAAATTGAAAAAATTCTATTTTCTACAATATGCATAAAAACAATTTATTATCTTGCAAACTTCAAAAGTATTTAACAATTTCCAACACTAATTGAAGTTGCATATGATATGCAAAAATATCTTTTGTCTTACTTTTGGCAAAGATTTATTATTATACATTAATATTTTTGGTTATAATGTATTTGATTCATTTCTCTTTAGTTTAAGTATACACTTTATTTGAAGAAAATTTATTTGATATAAATGATGAAAATGTATAAGTAAAGAGCGTGAAAGTGTTTTGCATATCTGAGTTAAAAGAAATTACATAAAATAATCTTATTTAAATCAAAAATAAAATACTCAAAAACAATCAAAATACTGTTTATTTAACAATATTAATTTCCTCAATTAATAATTAATAACTGCATCATCTTATGGAATTAGATTTGATGACTTTAGTTCAAATTGCATCGAGTCAAAAGTATAAGATTCATCTAATAATTCAGGACAAAAACAGCAAGAAAAGATGTTGATTTAAAGTTTACTGATTTTGTATTATCAGTAGAATCAAGAGTAGTGAGAGTAGTAAAACTTGATTAAATTTGAATTAACAAACTTAAATAACAGTGGCAACAATTTTAAAAACTTTGAAATTTTTTAATTCAAAGTATTAAAAAATTTCAAAGGTCGTGTAAGTTTAAAGGAAATTAAGGGAATTGGTTGAAAGGAAATTGAAGGGGAGCTTTTGTTGAAAAAGAGCTTTTTAGAGCATTTTGACATCAGGCGAAGTTGTCTTTCTAATATTTAAAAATACTAAAACAATGCGGAATAGTTGGTTTTTTAGAATTAATAATTACTCTTAATCCTTACCTTTCTGAAACTGGTCTTGGCAAATGCCCAAATATTTTTGCGCTTAAAATAGCCATTCTTCTCGCATAAGCTATCATTTCATTAAATTTATATTATTTAACAATTAATTATACAAAGTTCTGCTTAAAGTTTTATTTTCATTTAAAGCGAAGGTCATGTTTTTCAAATTTATTTACGAGGTCTGCAAATCGTTATTCTCCCCGCAAAAATTGATAGCAAATTTCTTGACTAATGCCAAACTGGAATTTTTATGGTCAATTTCGCATGACTAGATTCTAGTCTAGTCTTCTAGTCTAGAAGATGCAAAACTTCAGAATCTAGAAGCGTAACTAGAGGGAGCACACTCTTTGAGAGTGCTCCCTCTAGTTACGCTTCATGATAAATGAACGTTAAAAAGGATTCTAGGACCTTTTTTTATCTGAAAATGTACAGGTTTTATCCAAACATGGAGCCAATGATAATCAGGGGAAGGTGAAAGGAAGCAGATTTTATAACTACGCCACTCTAGGAATGTAAAATTGCTTTTGTATAAGCCGAATTTAAGTTTAAATTCAGAACTTTTTTATCTTCATACATATATTAAATTAGAACAACTAATTTTTCAAGATAATAATACTATTTTTTTTTTATATATGTATATATTATTCATTTGGGTGCTCCAAGAAGTCCTAACAGTCTTATCACAGAGCACCGCCACACAGCATTTAACCCGAAAGTTTACGTTTCCTTTCTTACCAATTATTCATATACGGCTAAAGCCGGCTTCGAATCACGGAAATCCAGTTCTGAAGTCAGAACTCAAACCATTACATCACGGCTGCCTAACTTTTGATTTCATCGATTGAATATTTTTGATCTACTAACTTTTCAACCGAATGTATTTTCATTTTTACTATTTTTTTTTACACACACACACACACACACATATATATATATATGTATATATATATATATATATATATATATATATATATATATATATATATATATATATATATATATATATATATATATATATATATATATATATATATATATATATATATATATATATATATATATATATATATATATATATATATATATATATATATATATATATATATATATATATATATATATATATATATATCAGGGGCGGATCCAGCATTTTTTGGTGTTTGAGATAGCTAACTTCCATACATGGAGCAAACTCCAAACATTTATATGTTTATACTTATATCAAATAAGGATGGTTTGCAAAAAATTGCGATGATTGGAGCCTGGGAACAAAAAAGCCCCAAAATTTGAGACGTACCTGCCCCAAACGTGAGAGCAACAAGTTGATTAAATATTTTTTGTACTATTCTCAACAAGACTTACATTTATCCATAAATTTTAAATTTCATTGTAAAATATTTCAGTGTTCAAAAATTATGACCATGTAAAATTTGAATCCCCCTCAATTCGAGGGGGTTACAATTTTTATATGGTCATAATTTTTGAGCGCTAAAATATTTTACAATGGAATTTAAAATTTATTGATAAATATAAGTCTTGTTGAGAATAGTACAAAAAATATTTTATCAACTTGTTGCTCTCACGTTTGGGGCAGGTACGTCTCAAATTTTGGGGCTTTTTTGTTCCCAGGCTCCAATCATCGCAATTTTTTCCAGTCTAAGATATATATATATATATATATATATATATATATATATATATATATATATATATATATATATATATATATATATATATATATCAGTCTAGATATATATATATATATATATATATATATATATATATATATATATATATATATATATATATATATATATATATATATATATATATATATATATGTATATATATATATATATATATATATATATATATATATATATATATATATATATATATATATATATATATATATATATATATATATATATATATATATATATATATATATATATATATAAACAAGATAAAAAAGATAGAATCATTAAAAATTTATTTTTTTAAGTTAAAAATTTAAAAAGAATATAAACAATATTGAATCATAAATCAAAAGTAATAAGAGCTATGGCTTCGCCATAGCTCTTATTACTTTTGCACAACTTTTCGAGGATAGTTTAGTAATGTGCTTTGTTTTCTTGATACATAAGATTTATATTTGTTTATTAATTTGTTTTGGTTATTTAAATTATTGGCGTTTGAATTTATCACTTTATTGCTCACATCATGGCGATCAATATTGAAGGCCTATTCATTTCGCAACGGTAAGTACTGGCTATGGACATATTTTTCGGCTGGGGGTTTTTATTTTTCGAATTAAAGATTTTTAACATGATGCTATAAAAATTAATACTATTTTAGAGTCAAAATTATTTCTTTTAATTGCAGAAAAATTGATTGAGTTATTTCAAATTAAGAATACTTTTTTAGATGCGACTATTTAATTTTACAATTCACTCAATTTTTCATATCTCTATTGATTTATTTCTTTTTTAAATTATTTACTTAAATCTAAATCTTTTCTTTCCTTCCTTTACTTTAGTTCTAGTTGTAAACAAATCATTGTCTTCCTGCAACTTCAATATATCTGTATGTCTATCCAGACATACAGATATATTAAAGTTCTATTAAAGTATCAAGAACTACTATATTCCGAAAACCTCTTTAAGACAATCTAAATTCTCAATATCCAGCAGAGGACCCCAATTGTGGAACTCATTTCTAACAAGCAAAATAAAAACGATAAACTCATTCCAACATTTTAAATGCGTTGTAAAGCAACAGCTACTTGACCTCAACATTAATGAAACGATCTCTTATTTTTAAAATTTTTCCTTTTTCAATTAAAATTTTTTTTTCTTCACTTTTTCTTGAAATTCTATTATATTACTTGCTTGGTTAATTAATGAAGTTCATTGTAAAAAAAAATAAAAAAATAAAAAAAAATTACATGTATTATAAATATTTTATTATATTTGTATTTGGTTTATATTTTATTATATTTTGTCAACGACAAAAATGGGGCAAGATGATAAGACTATTGTCTTCTACTTGCTCCAGTCATATATTTCACGGTAAAATGTTGTACAAATTTATATTAATAATGACGAAATATTTATATATATATATATATATATATATATATATATATATATATATATATATATATATATATATATATATATATATAAAGTATAAAGATATATTACGTGATACAGAATACAGATATATTACGTGTTACAGAATACAGATATATTACGTGTTACAGAATACAGATATATTATGTGTTACAGAATACAGATATATTACGTGTTACAGAATACAGATATATTATTTTATACAGTTATACAGATATATTATTAAAGTATACAGGTATATTATTTTATAAAAAACGAATGATTCCACAAAAAGGTATGCCCATTCAAGTATCAAAATTTCAATACAAGGATTCCTTTCAAAAATAAATGAACATACCTTCAACTGAAATTCGCTTTAAGAACAGAAGCGAAGTTTTCCATACCAATCAAATCACTAAAAACGTTGATACTTACAAAAAAATGACAGAATATAAGAAGCTTAAAACACTCTACTTTTAAAATAAAGTCTAAGCTGATATAAACTTCTAAAAAATAGAACGACAAAATATATCCACACAACATCTACTTCGATTACACTTTCACAGATTTCAACTTTACTATTGATGCCGTATAAGTTAGATACATACGCACCTAGATGTATTAAACTTCAATATATCTGTATGTCTGTATAGACGTATAGATATATTGAAGTTGCAGGAAGACAATGGTTTGTGATGTTGTGCTTTTATTTGCACGTGATGTTATGCTTTTATTTGCTCAGCTGTGCAAATAAAAACGCAACATTACGTTTCATTTTGTTTATTTGAAATGTTGTTCCACTCGGAACAACATTTTTAAGGGCCATCAAAAGCCTTTAAAAACAAGATTGTAAAGTATTAACGTATTCTTGACACATAGGTGTTTGATGTTAAAAGAAATGACAAATTGTCGGATTTTATTATTCTTCTTTTAGATAAAAGGCTAATTAACGTTTACCCTGATATTGTCGTCAATAAAATTTTTTTTATTTGGGACAACTTTTTCTAGTTATTATTTAGTTCAACCAACAATTTTTGGAAAACAGTTTGTTTTAAATAAAATATGTAGAAGGTCAGTCGAACTACTATAATAATTTGGACTGGCCTTAATCTACCTGAGTACTAAAAAACTATCGCTGAAAGACTTACAGCAAACTTTACTGTTTTGACAAACAATTGACATACATTGTCTATAGGAATTTTAGGCCTTTGAGACTAAAAGCAGATAGTGTTAAGCAGATAGCACTTGAGGTACTCTAAAACCGTTTAAAATGAAATGTTTTATCAAAAATAAGATTATCCGTAAGATAATCTTTTTTTTTTCCTCACAGACTTATCACAGAGCACCGCGAAAGAGCATTTAACAGGAATTTCACGCCTCCTTCATTACCAATGTTGCTATTATAATCTATCCAAAGAATCTATGTTGGTATTTAAAAATAAAACAGTGAGTTTATATGAATTTTTTATATATTTTGCTCAACATTTATGTTGAGCAAAATATAAAAATCCTTAAAAGATAAAAAAGTAAAAGTAAAAAAGATACCAGAAAATATTCAAACGGTTGGGAATTTTGACTTTTTAAAGTGGAAATAAATATGGGTAAAATTATTGTAATTCTTTCATAAAAAAAAAAAAATTATTTTATGATTTTTTTAAAAACGACTTCGCACATATGAAGTCGTTTTTTAAAAAATCTTAATTCTGACCATAAATTTCGGGACCGTAAACTCTTGAAATCTTTGTAAAATCTTTGATTTAAAAATATAAATTTTATGTGCCTTGTTTTTTGCATTTTTGTGATATTTAGTTAATTTTTTTTGCTTAAAAATTTTCACTTGATTGAAAATCAATCATCATCAGATATCAATGGCTTTTTATATCTGATAAAGGTTTTGAAATTAAAGAAGAGCTAATAAATTTGCCGTCAGATATTATAATGAAAAATAAAGAAATTGCGCGAAAGAGGCTCGTTAGTTGAATTGATTGAACAGAAGCTCGTTAGTTGAATTGAAGCTCGTTAGTTGAATTGATTGTTTTATATTTAAATTATTATTTAAACATGGGATATTTTTTT